CTCTTTCTTTCCTCCTAACCAACTTCTCACATTCTCATCTCTCCCTCCCTCTTAGTGACAATAATGGTGGGGAAGCTTCATGCCCAGCCCCCTGCAGTGCCCTCCACCCACTGTGGGAGATGAATTGCACAGAGCCCCTTGCCACCAACCTGTTCACCATCCTCTGTCATCTTTGCGTATCTCCTCAAACCAGTGACCCCCCCCCCCAGGAGTACCTTCTCAAGCCCTAGCTGTGGTCCGGCTGACAGAAGGTGGAGGAGCTGAACTCCCACTGGTTTGGGGTTCATAATCGGGGCCTCTGCACCCTTTGAGTGATGTTTGTTGGTTTCTTTAAAACATCTGGCCGGGCGCTATAGAAAATGGAATGCTGGTCATCATTTGCCTAGAGTGCCAAAAAAACTTGTGCCAGCCCTGGATGCGACACTGATTCAGATTCATTAATATGGTTCAAAGACCAGCATAAATCATATACCTGCAGTCAGGAGTAATAAAGTTAAATGAAAGAATATCCATATAGTAAAAAAATAAAATTTAAATTTGATAAAAGTTGTCACAGATTAAAATAAATAGTATATTAAATGTATCTTAACCACTGCTTACGATAACTGTGCGAATTTTGCAGGCACCCACGAGAAACCTTAAACAAGAAGCTTTAATTTGTGGATTTGTGCTGGTAAGGAGCAGGCCAGTGTCTTTCTAAGGAATGGAAGGATGAACTTTGCACGAATTTCTTGGTAGAAACCACACTAATACAAGACATGTTCAGTAGATTCAACCATACCAGCTCCGCAGGGGCAAACCTTCTCAAGCATAGGGGTCTTTCTATATCTCCCCTCAACCACTGTAGAAGGGCGTGCTCTCCAACGAGCTAGGGAGAAAGCCCTGTGGTGAGATGGTATCTCCAATGATGATAAATAAGCAGCTGGTGCTACAACGTATCTAGTATTCTCTGGTGCCAAAAAATTTGGAGCACTATTAATATCATTCTGGCGCTCAATGTCAAACACCCCGTCATTTGGCCAGAGCTTTCGCCTGGTCCAGTCCCATTACCAGGAGTGTCTGAGCAGACAAGCCTAAAATTCTCAATGTGTGGTGGACTGCTGTTAACCAGAGAGACTGAAAATGGTCCCAAAGTACTAAGGATGTTAATCCTTGGGGAAGATAGTTTAACTTTTTGTTTTTGTTGTTGTTCAGTCGCACAGTTGAGTCCGACCCTTTGCGACCCCATGGACCAGATCACGCCAGGCCTTCCGGTCTTCCGCCGTCCTCTGAAGTTTGTTCAACTTCATGTTCAAATCAGTCAATCCTAAAAGAAATCAACCCTGACTGTTCCCTGGAAGGCCAGATAATGAAACTGAAGCGCAAATACTTTGGCCACCCAATGAGAAGGGAGCACTCACTGAAGAAGACCCTGATGCTGGGAAAGATCGAAGGTCAAAGAAGACGGGGACAGCAAAAGGATGAGATGGTTAGACAGTGTCATAGATGCAACGAACATGAAATTGAGCAAACTTCAGAGGACGGCGGAAGACAGGAAGGCCTGGCATGATCTGGTCCATGGGGTCGCGAAGAGTCAGACTCGACTGTGCGACTGAACAACAACAATTATCGGCATATAATAATACAGGGATCTTTCGTTCAGCTAATGTAGGGGGGTGAAAGTCAGGGTTACTTAAGCTGCTTAACATGTTGTTAATATAAACAATATTCACAGGGAGGGTGGGGTATAAATTGAATTAATAAAATAAAAATAAATAAATACCAGTTGGAGCCAAAGTACATCCTTGTCTCACACCTTTTGATGTTGGTATATAATTAGTAAGTTGCCCGTTTCTGTTACATCTGACCTTGATCGATGAGCTAGAATATAAAGCTTGAATTAAATAGCCTCCAGTCTACAGATGTAGTTCTTTGTTTTTCCCAAAGTCTTACCCTAGAGATGGAATCAAAAGCAGTTTTGAAATCAATAAAAGCAGCATACAAGGAAACTGGGCTATTGGCTGCACATTTATCTATTAAGGGATGTGACACTGTAAAAAGTAAATTTGGACTTGTGGGCCACCATACTAAAAAGATTGGGAACCGCTGCTCTAGGGAATGGTGACGGCTTCTGGAATGTCGTGTTCATCATGCCACGAATTTAGGCCCTCTTTTACTCTTGACCGAAATGTCCATTTATGATTCAGAGGCTCTCCTCCAGTACTTGAGGCAGCTATTTCTTTTCCTTTGTCCCTGGTGGTACTGTATTTGTTGTGTAGGAGTAGACTCTCGAGTGAGCTGGATAGGCCCATATGGCAGAAACGCATGACAAACAGGTTCCTCCCCCCCCCCACTCCTCTCGTTGCTCTCTCTGTCCCCGATTTCTTGTAAAACCTCACAAAGCTTAGTAGTTAATCACTTGCCTCCTTTCTAGCTGTTCTGGGTTATTGACGGAAATTCCTTTATAATCCCCCTCCCCAATCTGTACAACAAAGCATCTGCTTGTTTATTTTAAATAGTCATGTCCAATCATTCTTCCCAAAAGAAGGAGCTCAGTTTGGCTTATTTATAAAATGTCATCAAAGCCCAGAATAAAACCATCACACAACAAATCAATTTGTCAGACAATGTCCAGATCTCAACAAGGCCAACAGCTCAAACCATCAGTGGCCAATGAAGCCTGGTGTTCTCCAATAAACCAGCAGGAAGCCACTTGGAACATAAGTGCTTTACATGCTTTTGTCTCTACAGAATTCCAGAAGTTAAAATTCCCCATTTCTCAATGCAGTATCCAGGTCATGGTGGTCATTCGTTTGTATCTGTTGTGGCCCAGCTCATGTCCTCTATCTCCAGGTAGTTCAGGTCCAGCTGAAACTGAAAAGTCCCTCTTGAGTTCCCAGGTTTCATCCTTTCAAAATGAGAAGCAGTCTTACGGGGAGAAATGGCTGCCGGCTGCGCTTTGGGGATTGGAGGATCTCATATCTGAAACGGCTAGGCAAATGCCAGGCTTGAAGAAACCAACTGGTTTCATTCAGAGGTCGGTGTCCTTCAGGCAAAAGAAGAGTGATTTCAGCTAAGCAGCTCTTAATCGCTGAACATTTACAAGCGTGTCTTAAGCCAGGAGTCAGTGGACTTAGATGGCCCTGTTAATGAGGCTCAGGAAAGTCATAGGCATACCGAGTAGGACAAAATATCTGCCAGACAAGAAGTTCATCAAAGGCACTTAGAAGACTAGAAATGATCTCAAAATCTGGTGCAGTGGAATTTGTTATTAAATCTAGTACAACCCCCACCCCCAGTCCTCCTTCCTCTATAAAAGCTGCAAGATGACCCTGTCCTGTGGTGTAGATCTGGAGGCTGGATTTTTTATATATATTTACTTCACCTAATGAGGTGGCAAAGCTGGCCTGCCTTCAAGATCCTGCTGTCAAAGTCGGGCTGCCATGCAATTGAACGCAGGGGGCGGTTTCACCCAGGATTCTGAAAGGGGCTTGACTAAGGCTTTTTTAAAGTGCTGAGTCAATGTGGTCAATTTTAATTTCAGTACACTGAGAGCAACAGATGAATTAACTGAGGCATTTTTAACCCACCTTTTCTCCTACAAAAGGAGTCAAAGCAAGTTACAAGGTGAATTACAACTGTGCAAATAGAGAGAACAGGTTTTTTTTTTGGGGGGGGGACATGTACAATAAATATACAAGGTCAGGACAACCCAGCAGTGGCAGTCTAGGATCTTTAACTGGAAGGTCCGTGCGCCTTGGTGTTTAGTCATGCCGGCCACATGACCACGGAAACGTCTTCAGACAGCGCTGGCTCTTCGGCTTGGAAACGGAGATGAGCACCGCAACCCTAGAGTCGGATTCAACTGGCTTTCGAGCAAGGGAACCTTTACCTAAGTTTGCTTAGCCACAGACACACACACATACACACATACACACAGATGCTGAGATCAGACTGGAGAATCCAAAACTGTCTCTTTCTGTTGACATATTCTGCTCAGCAGAAGCCAGCAATTTCTGGGGTGTCAGCAGCAATTTCCCTGCCATTGTCAAAGGTTTCAGGGTCACAAAGGGGCCCCCCTTAATAAAGAGCACAACCTGTTGACCCACCGCCTCACCAACTTAGGAATTTGTGGGGTAGTCTTACAGTGGTTTGCCTCATTTTTCCAAAGCTGGGGACAGGGTAGTGCTAGAGGGAGAATGTCAGCTAGGTTCCCCTTCACATGCGGGGCTCCTCGGGGGCTGTCCTCTCCCCAATATTGTTTAACATCTGTATGCATCCCCTCAGCCAGCTGGTGAGGAGTTTCGGGCTGGGTTGTCACCAGTACGCTGACGACACCCGGCCATATCTGCTGACGGGTGTCTGCCCTGACACCAACCCAACAAAATCTGACTGAGGGGCTGGAGGCTGTGGTGGGATGGTTGAGGAAGAGCCAACTGAAACCGAATCCAACTAAGACAGAGGCTCTGTGGCTGGGGGGATGGGTTTCAGGATTGGGGTCCCAACTTCCCACTCGTGACAGCGCACCTCTAATACCGGCTCAAGGCATCGAGAGTTTGGGTGTGGTCTTGGATACCTCCTTGTCTTTGGAGGCCCAGATCACAAACATTTCCAAGCTGGCATTCTTCCAGCTGTACAAGACGAGGCAATTGGCCCCTTTCCTGTCTCGCCACGACCTGGCCACAGTAATCCACGCAATGGTCACCTCCAGACTGGTTTACTGTAACTGGCTTTATGCTGGCCTGCCCTTGAGGGAGGGAGCAGTGGCGCAGGTAATACAACGCCTGCCTGTAACATCTGTAGCGAACAGCCTCAAAGGCTGTTCGATTCCCCACCGTGGCCGGATTGAGCTCCCGTCCCCCGTCCCAGCTCCCGCCAACCCAGCGGTTCGAAAGATAAATAAATAAATGAGTAGATAAATGGGTACCTGCCCTAGGTGGCAGGGGGCACCCACCTCCTGGTTCCGTGCCAGGAGTGTTGGCAGCAGCAACGGAGGTGAAGACAGCGGTGGCGAAACAACAATGGCGGCTGAATTCCGGATGACCAGACCTGACGGAAGGCGGAGTGAATGCAGGACGCGGGACACAGGCAAAGCAGACAGGGCGGCGCAGCACGGCTGGAGCCGGAAGGACGTGAGCCGGAAGCTGCAGCCGGAAAGAACGTTTGCACGCAAAACACCAAGCCTCCAGGAGAAGGTCGCCGGGCAGCCAGAAAGAGGCCAGGAATAACAACACTCGGAGCCCGCCAGGAGAAGAAAAGAAGCGCTGCCAACTGGGTGTCGATAGGGAAGTCCCTCCCCTTGTGAAATGTGGCCCTAGGTAGGTTCAATCACTACTGTATAGTAGTAAAGTCTGTAAACCGCTCTGAGACCCATTAGGGGTTATGAGCGGTATATAAGTCTCATGTAAATAAATAAATAAATAAATAAATTGAGGCTGATCTGGAAACTCCAACTGGTCCAGGATGTGGCAGTGCAGATCCTGACCGGAACATCATGGACCACACATATTTAACCTGTGCTGCACCAGCTATACTGGCTCCCAGTGGAGTACCGGGTCGGGTTCAAGGTTTCGGTCCTGACCTTTAAGGCCGTGAGTGGTCTGAGACCCACGTATCTTCAGGACCGCCTCCTCTGGTTTGTCCCCTGAAGACCTTTACACTCTGCTGAGAACAACTTACTGGTGATCCCAAGCTGTAAAGATGTCCAGCTGTCCTTGACTGGAGCCAGGGCTTTTTCAACCCTGGTTCCTACCTGGTAGAACTCCCTGCTGAGCAACATCCATTCCCATGTGCAGCTCCGCAGGGTGTGCAAGGCAGCGATGTTATGCCAGGCATTTGGTTGAGGACAGCGATGGGCACCATCTTACCTGGCACTCCCTTCCCCTCCCCCCACCCTGTCTTCCCCACTTATTGCAAAACAGTAATGCATAGTGTCGGAGCTGCGGTGGCTCAAGTGGTTAAGACGCTGAACTGCAGGCTGTGGAAGGTCGGTAGTTCAGCAATTCAAGACCCACATGTGCCGCATGATGGAGTGAGCTCCCGTCTCTAGTTCCAGCTCCTGCCAACCTAGCAGTTTGAAAGCAAGAAATTGCAAGTATAGGGACCACTTCGGTGGGAAGGGAACAGCGTTCCGTGCGCCTTGGTGTTTAGTCATGCTGGTCACATGACCACGGAAACGTCTTTGGACAGCGCTGGCTCTTCCGCTTTGAAATGGAGATGAGCACCGCAACCCTAGAGTCGGACTCGACTGGCTTTCGAGCAAGGGAAGCCTTACCTTTTTAATGCATAGTGTATGTTTATTTGGTGCCATTCTGATATTATTTTAACTATCTTAACTCCTGGATTTTAAATTGTGTCATTTTGTTGGTAACCACCCTGAGCTCTGTGAATTCAGAGAGGGGCAGTATATAAATCCAAATTATAAATGAATGAATGAATGAATGAAATTCAGAGTCCATATTGTAAAGGTCTGGAAAGTCCATACCCAGAGAAAACTAAGGCCAGACAGTGCCTAGGATTGCTTATTCAGCAACTGGAGTCTTTGCATACATCAACATGGTTGGTACCCTATTTTGCAATCAAAAAGAGAGACATGTCTTAAACAACATTATTAACTTTGTGAGCTACCGGCATTAAAGCTGTGAGTGAGGAATTTGGCTACTGCATAAATTAGTTTGCTCTGGAGCCCTCCTTCCTGAGATAAGATAAAAATGTGTGAGCCGGAGGCTAAAAAACTGTGAGGTAGCTCACACCGACTCAGCTTAGAGGGAACACTGCTAGCACCAGTGTTTTTCTCTTTCAAAAATATGAGTGGATAATGTCTCTTTAATTTATGAATGTATTTAACACATTTCTACCCTGCTTTCTCAGCTCAGATGTAAAGCGGCTATCATAAGAACATAAGAGACGCCAATGTTGGATCAGGCCAAAGGCCCATCCAGTCCAACACTCTGTGTCACACAGTGGCCAGAAATACCAGTGCCATCAGGAGGTCCAGCAGTGGGGCCAGGACATTAGAAGCCCTCCCACTGTTGACCCCCCCCCCAAGCACCAAGAAGACAGAGCATCACTTGCCCCAGAGCCCCTAGCTATACCTTGTGGCTAATAGCCACTGATGGACCTCTGCTCCATATGCTTATCTAATTCCCTTTTGAAGCCGTCCATGCTTGTAGCACCCACCACTTCCTGTGGCAGTGAATTCCATGTGTTAATCACTCTTTGGGTGAAGAAGTACTTCCTTTTATCCGTTCTAACCCGAACGCTCTGCAGTTTCATGGAGTGCCCACGAGTTCTTGTATTGTGAGAAAGGGAGAAAAGTACCTCTTTCTCTACCTGCTCTTTCCCATGCATAATCTTATAAACCTCGATCATGTCACCCCTCAGTCGTCTTTTCTCCAAGCTAAAGAGCCCTAAGCGCTTTAACCTTTCCTCATAGGGAAAGTGTTCCAACCCTTTTATCATTCGAGTTGCCCTTTTCTGCACTTTTTCCAAAGCTATAATATCCTTTTTAAGGTGTGGTGCCCAGAACTGCACACAGTATTCCAAATGAGGTCTCACCATTGATTTATATAGGGGCATTATGATATTGGCTGATCTGTTTTCAATACCCTTCCTAATTCACACATGACTGTTGTAAATGATTCTCCAATCACGTTCCAAGTCAAGCAGATTCTCCTTGCTTTGTGAGCGCTAATATGGATTTCCTGTCATTTTGAAATAAGCTGCCTTTGCTTGATAAGGGAACCACATGCATAAAAGAACATTGGATGCATGCTGGGTAAGATGCTAATGACTAATTGTGATGGAGATTTTAAAAATTTCGCAATTAAAACGTTGCAGAATTGTATATTTGAATCTCTTCCTAGTGCCTTAGATATTCCCATGTATCTTAAAACAAAGATGCTACATGTAGTTATTAAAGCTTACCACAAGATGTCACTGTTAGCTAAGTATCCAGGAATAGACGTATAACAGAAGGCGGAGGCCCAATCCTGTTAAACTGCTGTACCGCAGAAATTCTCTTTCTTTTTCAGCAAGGTATATGCAATATGTGCATGATTAAGAAAGGCAACCACGATTCTTGGGGCAGGTCATGGGGTAGACAGCAGATGAAAAAATGTGGTCACGATAGGAAAAATGAATGAAAGCCTTGTGTACGGAGTGAAGAAAAGGATTTCACAGATGTATTGAAAGCCCACCTTGTCTCAGATGGAGTGGTAGGGCGCGTTGACCTATTCGGATAGCCTGTCATGCTCGTCTGCTTCAGGTGTAAGCAGAGCAGCCATGGTGGGGAAGCGAGCGGGGTGTGTGTGTGTGCAGTGGTCAGATTTGGAGACTGGGGTCTGGGGGACCTGGGTTCAGACCTCCTCCCTGCCATACGGCTGGGTGACTTTGGGCCACTTAGCTCGTCTCCCAACATAACCCATGTTGTAAGGACAAAGTGGGGGAAAGGATAATGTTGTACGCTACTCTGATCTTCTTGGAGGAAGAGTAGAATTTTAAAAATGCACTCGATATATAATGGGAAGAGTGAAAATTATTTATAAAACCACCAGAGAAACAGCCCATGATTTCTACCGCAAACCTTCTTGCCAGAGCAGTGACATGTGGGAGAATGAATGAAAGAACTAGGAGAGAAACAGAAAAGAGCTGTTGGGCTGCCTTGGCTTTCCCTTTGAAACAGGGTCCCTCTCTGCATTGTGATCTGGCAATCCTGTTTGGAGATGAGCAACTTTCTTGGCATGCCGTGAATGAACTGTCTCAAAGATATGCAGCGGGTTTAGCCACAAGGTCACACTCTAGTTGCTAAATTGTGTTGGATTTATGTGATATACTAGCTGCGGTGGCTCAAGTGGTTAAGACGCTGAACTGCAGGCTGTGGAAGGTCGGTAGTTCAGCAGTTCAAGACCCGAGTGTGCCGCATGACGGAGTGAGCTCCCGTCTCTAGTTCCAGCTCCTGCCAACCTAGCAGTTCGAAAGCAAGAAATTGCAAGTAGATAAATAGGTACCACTTAGGTGGGAAGGTAACAGCGTTCCGTGTGCCTTGGTGTTTAGTCATGCCGGCCACATGACCACGGAAACGTCTTCGGACAGCGCTGGCTCTTCGGCCTGGAAACGGAGCTGAGCACCACAACCCTAGAGTCGGATTCGACTGGCTTTCGAGCAAGGGAACCTTTACCTTTACCAGCTGTGAAAACAGATCTATAATTATCCTTTCTGAAGTTTTGGATAACGCAAATGCCTCTATTAGTGGTCTTCCTCCCCTCTTCATTCCATCCCTTATCATGTTTAATATCAATAGTCTGCAGCACATGTAAACAAAGTATGATACCTTTGTCAAATTTAATGTAATCCCTTAAAAGACAACAATTAATAGGAACAACTGTTTTGCGGGCAAGGCAGGAGAGGTGACCAAATGAGTCCATTAGTTTACAAAGTTCAGATTTGGTTCTGTTCCAGATATGGTTGCCCATTTTCTTCCTTTTCTGTCCAAGACCAGGAACTTTCTCTCACTTCGGTGTGTTCCTGTTGCTTTGGTTTTGTTTGTTTGTTTGTTTTCTGGTCTGCACATGTTTTGCTCCCTCTAGTGGTCAATGTGATATTACATCCCTCTATGACCGGCATACAACCCTGCAGCTTAAAGCTTCAGGGAGATATGCTAGACATAAAGAAATGTAATATCACATTGACCTCTAGAGGGCTCAAAACACATGCAGAGCAAACACCCCACACACACCTCAAGGAACAGGAACACACAAGTGAAGAAAAATGAGAATGTGTAAGAGCCCAATCTGAACATTTAAAAAGTTATCTTTTGCCTTTAGATTATTGTTTCATCTTATTCAGTATTGCCTGCTCTGCTGAAAACAGCTCTCTGAGGATTCAGGCAGAGATAATCTCTGGCTCTGCCTGTGGGAGACCCTTTCATCTGGAGCTTCATGAAGCAGCGCCAGGGAACTGCTACATGCTACGTCTGTTGCTGCTGATCAAACACACCACTTCTAAATAACTTACATTTAAAACAATCATTTAAAAAAAATTGTTAAACATGAATGCAGCAAGCCATGTAACGGGGGGTAGGGAGAAAATAGAAAAAATGGATAAAAAAAGAGTGAAAGGTTATGTAAAATGCTTTTATTTGTTCTCTTTATATCTGTACAATAAAATATTTTTTTTAAAAAAAACATGAATGCAGCAAGTAAACACAGTCTCAGAAAGCCCTGCCCAAATCAAAATGACTTTACTGATCTTTTCCGAAGCGATAATTGGCAAATTTCCCTGGGGAAGCAATTTTACAGAGGATAATCTGATCGCAGGTGATGGTGCTACTCAAAGTAGCATTTTGTCAAGCTTCAGTTTCATTTCACCTTGTTCCACCTCACTGCTTGCCATAATTTAGGGGGGAGGGAATTCCTGAGGGGAGTGCATGGGTACTTTGAGTGGATGCTTGTAGAAGCCATAAATACCTTTAAGATTGCGTCCCACCGCTAGTTCCCAAGGGAGCTGGCCTTGGAGACTCTTTTGCCAGGCCTGGACATAGATAAGGTAGAAGCCATAACTTCCTTTAATATTGCGTCCCACCGCTAGTTCCCATGGGAGCTGTCCTTGGAGACTCTTTTGCCAGGCCTGGACATAGATAAGGTGCCATATATCTGCCAGGGTTGCCATAGTTACAATAGGGGCCGAATGGTGACGTATGTGCGAGGTGTGGGATGTATTTTGTATTATCTATAATAGGGGCTTTTGCGTGCTTTTTTTCTCAGTTCTGACAAGGAGCCTGTTTTCCTAAAGTAAGCATATCTCAATAAACTACCACTGCTTAAGTGTGTTGTGGAGAGTGTCTTAACTGGGGGGGACCTGAGCTAATGTTCCCTCTAAGCTATGGAGCCCTGTGAGAAAAAATTCTACTTTGTGAGCTGCTGGCATTAACGTTGTGAGCAGGAGATTTGGCTGCTGCATAAATCAGTTTGCTCTGGAGCTATATCCTTCCTGGGCTATGACAAAAATGTGTGAGCCGGAGGCTAAAAAACTGTGGGCTAGCTCACACTAACGCAGCTTAGAGGGAACACTGGACCTGACACATCTCACCAGTAGATCCCAACCCATGAAGATGCTGGAGAAGATGCTCCATTAAGTATCTCCCAAACGAGCAGCTTGTCTGTGTCAACCCATTTCAGTTTAACGTAGCAGTGAACTGGTAGCCACTGAAGTGTCTATAGCCAGCAGTAGAGAAAAGATGTGCTGATATATCCTGAGCCAGATGGAACTTCCGAGCTCTTTCCAAGCTCAGCCTGATATTGAGATATACCAAGTTCCTTTGAGTATACCAACCTCCAGGTGGCACTTGGAGATCTTCCACTGTTACGGTTGGTCTCCAGATGACCAAGATCAGTTCCCCTGAAGGGAACGGCTGCTTTGGGGGGTGGGCTCTCCGGCATTGTACCCCGCTGCTGTCTCTCCCCTCTTCAAGCCCCACCCTCTGCAGGCTTTACTCCCCAAATCTCCAGGTATTTCCTGAAGTACATTATATGGTATTTACACAGGGGTCATTTCGTAGAAAAAGAGGTCCAGGAGCTCATTAGCATAACTCATTAGCATAACTCGTTTGCATAGGCCACACCCCCTGACATCACCGGAAGTGTGTCAGAAGACGACACCCACCGCTCAGGCTTCACTGGACTGTTTTGGATTGCTAGCCATTGGGGGGGAAGGTGCAGATCTGCCCTCACAGAGGAGGGAGAGCTTGGACATGAATAAAACTTGGTCTTAAAGGTGCCACTGGACTGTTTTGGACGGGGGGAGTGGGGGGGCTCTGCAACTTACCTGGCTGCTTCTTGCTCTGACTGAGGGCTGCTGGGAGCAGGGGGTGGGGCTTGTTGCATGTGCGCGCACCCTTTTATATGGTATTTACACAGGGGTCATTTCGTAGAAAAAGAGGTGCAGGAGCTCATTAGCATAACTCATTAGCATAGCTCGTTTGCATATGCCACACCCCCTGACATCACCGGAAGTGTGCCAGAAGGCAACACCCACCACTCAGGCTCCACTGGACTGTTTTGGGTTGCTAGCTGGGGGGGGGAATGCGCAGATCTGCCCTCACAGAGGAGGGAGAGCTTGTACCTGAAGGTGGGCTGGGGGTGGGCTCTGCAACTTACCTGGCTGCTTCTTGCTCCTCATGGCCTGATTGAGGGCTGCTGGGAGCAGGGGGCGGGGCTTGTTGCATGTGCCCGCCCTCTGGGCTACTTACTGCCGGAGCTCTGTTCCTGTGCGTTCCCACAGGAAATGACCCCTGTATTTACATGTTTACCAAATAAGTATGACATTGGCCATCCCTCATTAGTCTCAGGAACAGGTGAAACTGATGTACCCGTTAAAATCCTTGTGTTGTTGGGAAACCCACTCCTGATATCAGCTAAAGCCTGCAGATCAAGAAGTAACCTTGTGTCAGGGTCTCAGGGAGCAGTTTTAAGATGTAAGCCCGATACCTAAATGGAAATGTGAACCCCATCCAGGAGAGGTATATCATACAGATCTGGTCAGACAGAGACCGTTAACATCAGCATCTTCATTTTGTCTCAGTTGCATTTCCATTTATTTACCCTCTAGCTGAGCTGCAGACCGGAAGGTCGGTAGCTCAGCAGTTTGAGACCTGAGTGCCATGTGATGGAGTGAACTCCCATCTCTGGCCCCAGCACCTGTCAACCTAGCAGTTTGAAAGCAAGAAATTGCAAGTAGATAAATAGGTACTGCTTCGGTGGGAATGTAAAGCGTTCCATGTGTCTTGGCATTTAGTCATGCCAGCCACATGACCACGGAAACGTCTCTGGACAGCGCTGGCTCTTCGGCTTGGAAACGGAGATGAGCACCGCCCCCTAGAGTCGGATTCAACTAGCTTTCGAGCAAGGGAAACCTTTAACCCATTATTGCCTTTAGGCAGTCATTCAACTTACTACTTTAGGTGCTGAAGGAAATGAGAAAGAGAGCTCCTGAGCATATCTTGCTCCAAATCCCCAGAATATATTCTTGATAATATGGAAGGTATGGGAAAATGGGTTGAAGGGAAGAGCATGATTTCCCCAGCAATACTTTGTGGAACCTGTTCCCCCTCCAGTCCTATTCACGCAGTCCAAAAGCATACCATCACCATCCAGAATCACATTTCAATATTCTGCTTCTGAGCTATGAAACTTCTGAAGACCTATCTCGTACTAGGCCAGACCATTTGGCCAAACAATGATAGAGGTCCTTCTAGCTGAGATAGAAACAGATTCCAGGACCTGAGAGGCTTATGTCGTCCCTAAAACCATGTGTTCAGTCTTCCCATTGGGCAGCCCCCACGTCTGAAGTTCATTTACAGCATAGTAGCATAAATAACAACCTATAATACAACCTATACAATAAATAATAAAATATGGTTCATTATTTCAGTAAATTTCAGTTTAACTGTCCATGTGTCTTCTTCACTACGGCTTTGGGTTTTGTCAGGTCTGATTCTGCATTGTCTGTCTTTATTACAGCCATTAGACTTTGAAACGAAGAAGGCGTACACTTTCAAAGTCGAAGCTTCCAATGTCCACCTCGACCACCGCTTTCATTCCGTGGGCCCATTCAAGGACACCGCCACCGTGAAGATTAATGTGCTGGATGTAGACGAACCTCCAGTTTTTAGCAAGCCTTTTTACACCATGGAGGTTGATGAAGATACTCCAGTTGGGACTATTATAGGAGCTGTAACAGCCCAAGACCTTGATGTCGCCAACAGTGCTGTCAGGTGAGATGATGGTCTCTGACTTCCTGTCTCAATTTCCTCCGTGGAATCAGTTTTGCAAAAAATATATATATACTAACAAAAGAATTCCGAGGAGGCTTTAAAAACTATTTAAAACGGGTGGTGGAAAGTGCCGTCCAGTCTCAGCTGACCTATGGTGACCCCGTGCGGTTTTCGAGGCAAGACACATTCAGAGGTGGTTGGCCATCACCCAGCTCTGTGGGACTTGTTGCATGTGCCCGCCCCCTGGGCTCTTTACTGCCGGAGCTCCACTCCTGTGCGCTCCTGCAGGAAATGACCCAGGTGGTCTCCCATCCAAACACTGACCAAGGCCAGGCCTTTTTAGCTTCTGACATCTGATGAACAAGGCTTGCTAGGGATGGGCAAGCCATTCTGATTCTGCTTCCCCCCAAAAAATAATGATACCATGGTGGTTTGTGGAGGGGGAGGGGTTGTTACCTTTCACTAAAATCCATTGCTGGTTTGTTTGGCTTTTTTTTTGTCTTCTACCCCATACTCCTGTACCCCACAACACTGCCCTGGGCCTCAAGGCTTCAAGTTGAGAGTTCAGTCCATGCCAATGAAGTGGAGCCGGCAAGGTTATCTGGAACCCTTCTGTAGCCTTAAGCCTAACCGTGCTAATACGTTTGTTTTTTTAATCGCCCTTATTTTATGTACTTTGTAGTCCACCTTTCAATCTGATACATTGCTTAGTCCTTAATTAAATATTTGATGTAGTGTCTGAAATGAAGTAATAGTTTTCGGTGGTGGCTGTCTGTTTGTTCTTCCTGGCAATTTCTCTCTCACTTCTTCTCCGATCCATCCTGACTCGTACCACTATATTAAAAAAGGAAGGCACAGAAAACAGTAAAAGGAAGATGATAATGAATAATTGTCTTAATCTCTCCTGATGCACAAGTGGACTGTAGACTGCAGACAATCCTATCAGGCACTGTCTGAATCCGATCTCTCGATGCAATCTGTCTGTACAATGACACCCCACCCCACCCCCGGTTGCATTTACACTTTCTGAGAAGGTGCAGTGGCCAGATCCAAGAGACCTCTTTGGAAAGGGGAGGCTCAGTTATCTTGGCCATTCCTG